CAGGAGCAGTGAAAGAAAGGGAGAGGACACCAGAAGAGGAATGGCCCATAGGCTCAGGAATGGGGGCAGCAGCAGCCAGGGAACTACAGGAGGTGTTAAGGCAACACCGACAGTGCTTCGCCTACACGCTGCAGGAGCTAGGAGAATGCAAGTCACACGTCATGGAAATCAAGCTCACCACGGAGATACCGATCTACCAGAGGAAGAGACGGATGAGCCCAGGAGACATCGACATATGCATGGAAAAGTGCGCGGAGCTGCTAGAGGCAGGGTTGATCCAGCGCTCAGAAAGTGACTACGCAGCAGCGACAGTAGTGGCCTCGAGGAAGGACCTCATAGGGGAGGTGTCGGCGAGGAGAATGTGCGGGGATTACAGGGGCCTGAACAAGGTCACCGTGGCAGACCGATACCCCATGCAATCCGCCGAAGAAATCTTTGACAAGCTACAGGGGGCAGCTGTGTTCTCGACGCTAGATCTCAGACAAGGCTTCAACCAGATACCCATCAGAGCAGAGGACCGAAAGAAGACAGCATTCCATGGGCCAGACGGACTGTACGAGTGGAGGTGCATGCCGTTTGGCATGAGGAATGCCTCGGCGCTGTTCCAGCGAGTGATGGACGCAGTCTTGAGGAACGTGCCAGCCGCTGCCTGCTACATAGACGATGTCATCGTCTTCAGTCCCAGCCCCGAGCAACACGTGAAGGACGTGCAGGCCACCCTGGAGGCCATCCAGGGAGCTGGATTAACCTGCCACCCGAAGAAGTGTGAGTTCGGCAGCAGGGCAGTGAAGTACCTGGGATTTGAGGTGCAGGGAGGGAAGATGAGCATCCAGCAGGCCAAGGTTGAGGTGCTGGATCGAGTACCCGCCCCCAAGGACCGGACAACACTAAGGGCGGTGTTGGGCTTCTTGAACTACTACCGCAAGTTCGTGCCCAACTTCAGCCGGACGGCAGCAGTACTGAATCGATTACTGCGGGAAGAGCAAGCATGGCAGTGGGGAGAGGCCGAGCAAGGGGCGCTGGAGGCTCTACTCACCGCTGTGAAGACGGCTTCGGTACTAACCCTGCCCAGTAAGGAGGATCCCTTTGTGCTCTACACCGACTGGAGCAGTGCAGGCATGGGAGCCATACTGTGTCAGGAGAAAGAGGGGCAGGAGATGGTAGTGGCCTTCGCCAGCAGGAGCTGCAACCCGGCAGAGGCCAACTACTGCTCCTACGAGGGAGAAGGGTTGGCAGCCGTGTGGGGGGTCACCCACTTCCGTGTGTACCTGCAGGGCCGGCCCTTCACCCTAGTGACAGACCATCAACCCTTGACTTGGCTCATGACCAACCAAGCTCTCACCGGTCGGAACGCCAGGTGGGCGATGCGGTTGCAAGAGTACGAGTTCACCATCCGGCACCGACCGGGGAAGACGCTGCAGCAGGTAGACGGCCTCTCCAGGAACCCTCCGCCGGACAGCCCCACAGCCTGCCTGGTCGCACTAGCCCGAGAGATTGACGGAGAAGGGGCCAGGAAGAAGCAGGAGCGAGGGCCCGATGATGTGTGGGAGGATGAAGAGGTGCTGAATTGGATACAAGGCAAAACGACAGAGGCCGGGCCAGCCAGCGAGCGAGCCCGGGCAAGAGGGGTGCACTACAGATGGTACCAGGACCAGATGCAGAAAAACACTAAGGACGGGTGGAAGCTGGTGCCAAGGAGAGAAGAAAGAGAGCAGATAATAGCCAAGGTGCATCGGACGCTGGGGCACTATGGAAGTCTGAGGACCAGCCAGCTGGTAGAGACCGGGTGGTGGTGGGCGGGAATGCGGAGAGAGATAAAAGAGTGGGTAGATTCATGCGAGCTGTGTAGCAGGAACAAGGCAGAGCTGGAGAGAGGAAGAGAGGAGTTGCAGTCACTTCCCATACGAGGACTAGGGTTTCGATGGTCGCTAGATTTGGCAGGAGAGATGCCGCTAAGCCGCAGAGGGAAGCGGTACATACTCATCATGATAGAACACGGGAGCAAGTGGGTGGAGGTCAAGGCGTTACCCAGTAAGAACTCGGCGAAAATAGCAGAGGCGTTTGAGGAGCAAGTCCTCACCAGATTCGGCGCATGCGGAGAAGTCCTGACCGACCAAGGGACCGAATTCCTAGGAGAGTTCGAGAAGCTACTGCAGGCGACAGGAATCACGCACCGAAGGACATCCCGCTACCACCCCCAGAACGATGGGCTGACAGAGAGGTTTGTCCAGACTATGAAGAGGGGACTGCGGGCCTACGGAGAGAAATTCAAGCGAGACTGGGATGCACGACTGCCCTGGGTAGCGGCAGGATACCGGTTCAGTAAACAGGCAGCTCTGAAGGACGTGTCCCCATACTACCTACTGCTGGGGAGAGAGCCCATACTGCCAGTAGACGCACCGAAGCTGCTGACAGGAACCGTGACAGTGGCATCAGCGGAGAGTTGGGTGGGGCTGGCAGAGGCACGGGCCAGGTACCTAAGAGAACTGCTACCTGCAGCGCTAGAGAACTTGCACGTGGCTCAGCTCAGAGACGCGCAGCGATACAAGAAGAGGAGGGAGGGACAGGGAGCTGCTAAGGAAAAGCAGCTGGGAGTAGGGGAGGAGGTATATCTGAAGCAAGCGAGGCACGACATGATGGACATAGGCCTCAGCAACGAGCGCTGTAAGGTCAAGGAAGTGAAAGAGTCAGGAGTGGTAGTGCTGGTGAGCGAGGGAGGCAGGGAGAAGAAAGACCATCAGACCAACGTGGCACGAGCCCGACCAAGGCGGGGAGCTAAGGAAGACGGTGCAGGAACGGCAGAAGAAAGAATCCAGCAGCCAGGAGTAGAAGGAGTCCATCAGCTTGCAGCAGGAGCTAGGCAGCCGAGGAGGGGGCAAGTGCAGGATGCAGGTGGCAAGGCAGGGCAGGTACCCAGAGAGCTGAGGGCACTAATGCAGTGACGAGGAAGGTTGCAGAAGAGAGACAACACCCCAGCATCAGGAGCACAGGAGGCAGGGCCAACAGGAGGCAAGGCCGGGCAACCTGAAGCAAGACAGAGAGAGATTCCGACAGCTGTCATGCTTTTATACTTAGTATAGATATAATAAGATAGGTGCATGACATTGTGAAGGAGCGTAATAGACTGTAGAGAAGTAAGGGGGAAAAGGGGAATGCTCGAGCGGGAACACAAAGCGAGCCGTGCGAAAGCACCGTTGCTCGGCAACGGTAACCACCGCTCACAATTACTTAAGCAGTAGCGCAAGTAGGGGATCTTTGCTTGCGAGTTTGTTTTCACACTAAGCTACAATTCAGGCTGGCGAAACCCCTAGCACCTAGCACGAGTGGAGCCAATCCTAGCAAGCACGATCTGAGCCAAGGAAGAGCAGTGAGTCTGCCGAGCTCAGCCCCCAGTGGAAGCAATCTCCTCTCAGAGAGTAGAGGAGCTTTTATTCTCCATTCTCCATGATGTAGATTACCTTTCATGGAGGGTGAGCTACTCCAACCTTTCATGCTCTGGGTGGCGGTAACAGTATTTTCGCCCAAGGCCGTGGGATACGGATGTGGGTTTTCTCGGTAAGTCATGGTAGAGAAGCAGTGTCAAGGGATGCCAGACAGGGGGGTTTAATGAGTGGTTCGATGCTGGAGTATGAGCATAAGAAGGACAATAGTGGAGATTGGAGGGGCTACAAGAAGAGGAAGTCTTTCAACAATGTCTCAATCTCCACCCTGGGCATGTGGCAGGAAGGGCAAAGAACAGATAGGAGTAGGAGTAAGGAAGATGTAAGAAGCGATGATGACCGTAATGACTCTCAATGTTACTATTCTACCATGAAAATTGTATCCGCAGGGTTCTTTCTACATTTACCGTATTTAAAATTAACATTAGAAAATCAATGTCTGTGTCCGTGTGTACGTGAGTTCGTGCGTGCGAACGTGCGTGCGCACGCGTGCGCGCCCGCGCGCGCGCGCGCGGGCGTGTGTGTGTGTGTGTGTGTGTGTGTGTGTGTGTGTGTGTGTGTGTGTGTGTGTGTGTGTGTGTGTGTGTGTGTGTGTGTGTGTGTGTGTGTGTGTGTGTGTGTGTGTGTGTGTGTGTGTGTGTGTGTGTGTGTGTGTGTGTGTGTGTGTGTGTGTGTGTGTGTGTGTGTGTGTGTGATGTTTCAGCGTCCATTTGTGTACCACGGCTGATGAATCACCCAACCCCACAACCAATCTGAGGGTCAGACTGCTACACCGAATGCCAGAATCTAGCTTGCATTGCAACGACCTACTGTAGAAACAAGGATAAATCTGGAAAGCCATGTACTACATAAATAAAATGTGAACATGTTAGACGATGGCTCTCAAATGATGTTCAGCAACGATTACAGCCTGGATACTGCCAAAACATGCCACAGTTAAAGGGCTTTAAAGCCCGAGCATCAAGGGACCGTCTTACGGTACAAAGGGAGCACAGAAACATGTGCGGCTTGTCCTCATGGTATAATAGAATCACAAGAGCTCAAACCTGTCAAAAAAATAGAGCAAGGGAAGTAGGAAAGTGAGGGGTATGGGGTGTGTGCGACTGCAGGAACATTGCAAACAGACAGCTGGCAACAATGCAGGAGAAGATTCAATCAAATCAGATCATGATTTGCACGGGAGAGATGTCCATCTGTCATGTTTTGAGTCGCGTCCTGTGATGTATCCTGTCATCTATCCTGACCCGTCAACAGCAGCTGCCATACGACCCAAATGCCCACTCACCTTGTCATTGATCATCTCACTCTTCTTCCCACCAGCCCTCCCGAGGCACTACGCCTTATTGGAGTCTCTGCTGCATAACGTACAGCATTACCTTGCATGAAGAGCCTTTAACATTGCATTACATTACCTATGCTGTCACTTGTACTTCGCTCCACCTAGTGCCCTTGCCAACGTTCCTGCCACCCACCTTGTCATTGCTCTTCTCACTCTTCTTCCCACCAGCCCTGCCGGGGCATTCGAGCTTGTGGGAGGGCCAGTGGGCCTTTTGGCACTCCCTACTGCAGTACGCCACCTTGCCACACCCAGAGCAGCTCCTCAGCTTCACACCACCGCCCTCCACCGTGCCACACCCTGCAGCACCGCACACACGCCTCTTGGAAACCCCAGGTGCTACACTGCCTTGATGTGCATTTGCAGCAATGGAACTTGGTGCAGAAGCAGCAGAGGTTGGAGCAGCAAATTCTGGTGCAGCAGCAGCAGTGCTTGGGGCAGCAGCAGGGGCAGGGCGGTAGCAGGGCTCCCCCAGCAGCATCTCTCGCAGGCAAGCCACCTCCCCCTGGCCATGCCTTCAGATGAGCCGGCACCTCCTCCTCCTCCTCCTTCTTCCCCTTCCCCTCTTTGCTCCTGCTGCTGCTGCTGCTGCTGCTGCTGCTGCCGCTGCTGTAGAAGGTGTTGCTGCTGCTGGCAGGAGGAACCCCGTGGTCCCACTCCTCACAGAACCTCGACTCCAGCGACCTGTTGCACAGCTCTGTCGCCACGTCCTTGCTGCACTTGCGTGGCGGCCCGCCGCTGCTGCCTCTCCTGCAATCATCGATCAAATCAGTCATGGCATCAGTCCTCCACGCAATCAGCACTGCAAAGCCCCAGTCCTTCACCTCCTCCCACACCTCCCCATCATCCTCCTCCTCTTCCTCTCCTCTTCCTCCCGCACCACCCCCACGCGTCCTTCCCGCTGCCTTCCTCCCTTCCCCCCCCAGCAGCTCCCCCTTCCACTCGTCCCGGCCGACCATGCCAATCTCCTCGACCTGCAGCATCGCATTCGGCCAGTACAGAGCCACGTTGAGCAGAAAGTAGACCGGAATCTCCTCCGCTCTCTCCCTCACCACCTGCACCTGAAACGCCGCACAGGTGCCCCGAGGGAACGGCTCTAATAGCAGCAGGTCTACTAGCTTGCAGAATTCCGGGGAGCGCGGGGGGAAGACGGAGAGGAAGCGGTTGAGGAGGACGGTGGCGGGGCGGTAGGCGAAATTGGCGAGGAGGGTGAGGAAGAAGATGTGGTAGGTGAACTGGCCGAGGCACGAGCGGCAGCGGGCGCACGCCGGGGGGTAGACCTGATGCCCTGCAAACTCCACCAGGAAATGAGCGTCTGCTGCGCATCGCACGATGGGCATGGGTCTGTTCCGGGGGGTTGTTGCTCCTCTAGAGGGGTGCGCTCCCCCTCCCTCCTTCCCACTGATCCCTCGGCCACGTCCCTTGCCACGCTTCCCGCCGCTCCCCGTGCCACTTCCCTTGTTCTCGTTATCTCCCGCCGCCGCCTCCTCTACAATCCCCAGACGAAAGCAACGCACGCACTGATCGGCAGGGAGCTTCACTGCATCTTCCTCACCACGTGGCCACTCCTCCCACTCCGAATCAAACTGCTTCCAAGGCAGAGGCTTGGGGATGGCACCTAGCCTGACCAGCAGGCTCGGAAGGTCTCGAAGCGGGTGCCGCATGGGCAAGGTTTTGCCGTGCGGGCTCCCCTTGAAGCACCTCCTAGCTGAGATGAAATCTGAGCCGTAGATTCGCACCCACTGCAGGATACAGCCAACCCGATACGTCATTGCTGAGACGATCGGGTTCGTGTTGTTGACAGGGAGGGGGGAAGGGGCGGGTGGGTCAGTGAGGCTAGCGGAATAAGCATCAGCAGCAGCGATTTCAGCCCCGTTTGGATCCGAAGCAATGATGTCGGATAAGGAAGCGACTTGTCCCATCTCCGTCTCCCATTTCATCCTCGCCTGGGCCACTATGTCCCTGCTGAGCCACTCCTTGGCCTTCTCCACTGCTGCATCTTCCACGCGTGCCTTGCTCGCACTCTCAGCGTCCATACAGAACACCTCGCCCTGCTTGCGCTGCCCGCTGTTAGACAGCACAGTGGCACACGCAAGGGCGAATTCGGTTGCGCCCACACCGCTCAGATGCATGCCCTTGGGAGCATGGCAGCCCATAGGACTATCCAGGCTCGGGCTGCCACTACAACTGCTGTTGCTGCTGCTGCCATTCTCACTGCAGTGGCTGCACCGGAACTCCCTCCCTTCCCCCCCACCATGCTCCAGAATCCATGCCATGCCATCCACATACCTCTCCCACACAGGCCCTTTCAGGTGCTCCCTCCACTTACCATCCTTCCCAACCTTCCTCCCAGCACTCTCACCACGTCTCCCTCCCCTCCCCCCACCCTCACGCTCATCCACCAGACACACCACCGTGCCACCGCCCTGCTCCTCCCCATCCACGCCCATGACATGCCGCATCCTCGTCATGACATCTGCCGCTGTGGGCGCATTGCTCGCACCCATCATGCGCATCATCCCCATCATCTCCTCAAACATCCGCCACCCCTCCCCTCCCGCCTGCTCCCCAACCCCCCTCCCCGCCCCTCCTCCCGCCCCCCCTGCTCTCGCTTCCCTCCTCTCCCCTTCCCCGCGTTCCCTCACCCCCCCAGACAGCAAATTCTGCATGAAGAACCCAAACCCTTCCTTCAGCTCACCAGCGTCCTTCACGCCAAGCACCTGCACTAGCAGGGAGGCGAGCCCATCCTCCTTCTCCTGCCTGCCCACCCCCAGCTCACGCATTACCCCTGGGAACGTGGCAGAATCGGAGTCCATGTGGGCCTTCCATAGAGTCACAATGCGGGGCAGCCTCGCTACAATCACAAGGAAGGTGGCGAAGCTGACAGCACGGCGGTAGGCAGCCCAGCAGCTGCTGCAGCGGTAGCAGCAGGACCAGGCGACTGAGGGATGATGGGCATGGGCTCGAGCAGGGACCGCAGCAACAGCAGCGACAGGAGGGGCGGCAGTAGAAGCAACGGACGAAGCAGAAGCAGCAGCAGCAGAAAGAGAAACAGCAGGAGAAGAGACAGCAGCAGGAACACCAGGGGATTCAGCAGCAGGGCCTTCAACCCCTAGAATACCCGGCAGGCGGGATCTGATCATCCCAAGGTCCATCATCACGCCCACACGTGGCTCTGCCATCCACTCTAGCACCATCGCCTCAGCACAAATCCCCGGCGCCCGCTCACACTTCCACTTGTACCGCTCTCGAGAGGACTGCACCCCTTGCGTCCCTCCCAGCGCCCCCTCCGGTACAGCAACCCCTGAGGAGAACTCTTCAATCGCCCGTGCCTTTGCCTTCTGGGCTGGTGACGATGCCTGGTTGGCTGGTGGTGGCACGAGGCGGACGGATTCTTTCAGCGGCCGCCGTAGGGTTGAGCGCAAGTCCCTCAGGCTGTGGATACCCAGGGCGAGCTTTGACCGCCGGGACACCACACGATCGAAGCAGGGCTCGCAGGCGGCTAAATCCCAGCCGTTCCTCACGTCTAGGTAATGAACCATGTCCGCTCGATCCAGGACCTGGACACCCCCCTGCTGCTCCGGTCGCTTCGGAGCACCTGCTGACCGATGAATTCCCTCCTCCTCTTCCTCCTCTCGCGCTCCTGGCTCGCCCTTAGCCTTGCTTGGCTTGGCTGCTGCAGCTGATGATGATGCCTGTGACTTGGGCGCTGTTTCCTCGTGCATGCTGCTGCCTTTCTCCAGCGGAGTTTCCGCGTTCTTGGCCTTTCCTCCACCAATGCTCCCAGCGGCTCCTCTTGACTTCAGGTCCGGTCCCAATATGCACTCCACCTCCTCCTCCTCGTCCTCATCCTCCTCCTCCTGATCCTCCTCCTCCTCCTCGTCGCTGCTGGCCTCGAGGTGGTCCCACTTGCTGTAGTCGATGCGGGTGCTGGTACGAGCTGCAGGTGGTGCAGCAGACGGCGCAGCAGGCGGCGCAGCAGACGGCGCAGCAGGCGGCGCAGCAGACGGCGCAGCAGGCGGCGCAGCAGACGGCGCAGCAGGCGGTGCAAAAGGTGGCGCAGCTGGCAGAGCAGCAGTAAGAGCTGCAGAAGAAGGAAGAGCAGCAGAGGCAGCAGCAGAGGCGGCAGGAAGAGGCCCCGCCGTTGAAACAGCAGCAGCAGCAGGCGCGTCATTCGTCCCGTGCTTGCATGCTACCTCAACCTTGCTTTTGAGACCTTCGTGCACGGTTTTCACGGGAAGCACTTTGATGATTGTACCCGATTTAAGCTTAGCGTGCTCTACCGTGGAGTCAGGAGAGAGGTACACCACCTGTCCGAGGACCATGAAACGGACCTGCTGCGACTGCTGCGACTGCTGCGTTCCACCAGCCAAGTCCTTTCCGACCGCGTTCCCGCCATTAGCCGGTACCTGTTGCTCACGAGTCTGACATTGCAGGTAGCAATGTGGCAAATGTGACTGGAACAATCTGGTGAAGACGGTTCGGAGGGAATCCTGCGGAGAAACGGCCACGTGGACGTCCACGTGGGATGATCCCGTTGGTTCAATTTCGAGATTCTTGTCGTTGGATTGTGAATCGTTGCTATTGTCGTCGGATCTGCGTTGAACGAGATCACTCGGTATCCTAACCGAACCTCGAAAGCCATAGTGGCCGCAGCTGCAGGCATTGCGAACGTGCTAGTCAGCCTTACTGTTTTGGCCGTCGCTAAGTGGAAAACTTATCAGGGTACATAAAAAGCTCCATACTCGCTACGTTTTCTGTAAACTCACGAATGTCGTTTGCAGGGAATCTAACACTTGGCAATGAGATTATCGTGCTCTCTGATTACACTAGGAGGTTCTATTTGTTTCTGGAACAGCCATGGCCGTCGAGGTGTGATGGACTCAAGACGGAATTTCAAGAGAGAATCCACATTGCTCGTCGGTTTTGCGAGTTCCGCTTTGTTTGATCGCAGATTCAGAAAGAACCGAAGTCGAATCAGGGAAATCCGTTTCGCTGCAAGAAGTGCTGATGAGGAGAAATGTCTACACCTACTGCACGTTCTCACCCGCTATACCACCTGAAAGTCGGTTCTCTGCTGCAGCACCAACACAAATGGTCTCATGTTATTGCAGGAGGGCTTGGTGTCTTGGGTGCAACTTCGCAAGTGGTACGGTACTTTCACATCAGGGGTTTCAGTTGGCAAGGGCAGGTGTGGTGAATGACGGAGAATACGGTAACGACCTCTAGCAGCCTAGTCACCCTTCGGAGAATGAGTGCATCTCTACGACAGTTTTAGGATACCGTCATCGCCCGGATAGTAGACATATATGTCTTATCTCGTACACTACTCAAAATGCTTGGGTTATCTTGTATTTGGGATGGTTTAGGGTATCTTATAAATCTTATAAATGGAAAAAAATATAAGAACTCTCTAACACTTGCAAACTGTGTAGAAACCACCCCTGTACCATTATACCTTTGAATTAGGGCGACCTCGGTGGTGATGCATGCAGCACCCCCACTTGCCACGTGAGGGATGCAGCAAAGCTGCCACTGCTGGCAGCATCTCTCCGTGCTGGCAGCATCTAATGATGCTGCCAGCGTCGTTTTGCTGCCAGCAGCGCTTGGATGCTTCTAGAACGCTGCTGGCAGCACGATGGTAGCATGAGGGCTGTCCTCTACGAGGAGATTCCTCGTAGAGGAGCGGCTCGGCACCTTTGGAAGGGGCACTGTGGCTGGAGGGGTTAGTCAGGCTTGAGCTTCATTTGGTGCTCAAGGAGGTTGAGATCTCAACTCAACCTTTGCTCTTGGCAGGCTTACCGTAACCATGCGCAGCAAAGTCCCCACAGGCACGTCCTCACCTCGCCCTCACGTGCAGGTGAACAACTACGGGCGAATCAACTCGCTCGGTGATGACATCCGTGTAGCCATGGTGAAGAATACGCGCAAGGCGGGAAGATCTACCGCCGCCTCCCATGCGAGCTGTGACGGGGACGACGGCGACGAAGGACACGGCGGCGACGACGACGACGGAGAACACGGCGACGACGGCGACAAGGATTGGCCGGAGAACGGCCACGACGATAGCGCTTCGAGGGATGAAGTAGCCCCTGCCGACGTCGATGAGGACGAATGGTGGAATCGGCCGGTTGGGAGCGACGATGAAGTGGAAGAGTGGCGGGCTGGTGATTTGGACAACGACGAGGGTGTGGATGCTGATGGCAGCTGCGGACGCAACGGGAGCGACGGGCGATGACGGTGCGGAGGCTGACGACGAGGCGGATGCGAAAGCGAGGACGACGACGGTGGAGGCGGATGCGGAGGCTGACGACGAGGCGGAGGCAGAAGCGGATGGCGATGCTATTGCGCCCGCGGATGTGGTCGCAATTGCGGATGCGGATGCTGCGGAGGGAGGTGCCGATGACGACCCGTGGAGCATCACGGGTGACAACGATGTTCTGCTTCTGAAGCGGAGGCCGCGTCATCACTTATAGTCGAAGCCGAAGCGTGCCCGCGTGGTGCTCTCTGATGACGACAGTCCGGGGGAGGAGCTTCCACCGCGCATCTCTGCTACAGACAAGGGGAAAACCAAGGTCGCGGATGCCCCTGCTAAGGCCACCGTTCGTCGCCCCCCAAGTGTCAGAGTATGTTATTTGTCTAGCCTGCAGTGGGGTACTCAATAGTGAGTACAGCCCCTTAGGGTTTGCTATTTGTACCAACCTGCTTGCTAGTCCAATCATCCTTTTCTCAATTCTTGTTTCTGTTCAACTCTCGCTCGTACTTGGCGCCTCGTCCTAGTCTTCCTGTGGCCTAGGCTCCTAAGCCTAGGCCCTACTACTTTGTATATTTAACATGGTATCAGAGGGCGGCAGGTCTCCCGCCTTCCTGTGTATGGGCCCACCACCTGCTTTCGCTGCCGTACTGTCCGCCGCGCGCCCCGTGGTGCACGGCGCCGAAATTAGGGTTTCTGCCCGCCGCGCGCTCGGGGCGCGTGGCGGTTTACCCTTCCGTGGCGCCCGTCGTGGTGCCCTTGGGGGGCATGCGCGGTCCCCTCCCGTCGCCCGTCGAGGCGCTCTCGGGGGCCCGCGCGGCCTCCCCTCCCGTCGCCCGTCGAGGCGCTCTCGGGGGCCCGCGCGGCCTCCCCTCCCGTCGCCCGTCGTGGCGACCACGGGGGCCCGCGCGCGGTCCCCTTCCGTCGCCCGTCGAGGCGCTCTCGGGGACCCGCGCGGCCTCCTCTCCCGTCGCCCGTCGTGGCGACCACAGGGGCCCGCGCGCGGTCCCCTTCCGTCGCCCGTCGAGGCGCTCTCGGGGGCCTGCGCGGCTTCCCCTCCCGTCGCCGCGGGGGCCCGCGCGCGGTCCCCTTTCGTCGCCCGTCGGGGCGCCCTGGGGGCCGCGCTCCTCCCCCCCCCCTCCCTCCTACCTTTCACCTGCAGCGGCCGCCCCTGGAGCAGCCCGCACCTGCAGCAGCCGCCCCTGGAGCAGCCCGCACCTGCAGCAGCCGCCCTGGAGCAGCCCGCACCTGCAGCATCCGCCCCTGGAGCAGCCCGCACCTGCAGCAGCCGCCCATGGAGCAGCCCGCACCTGCAGCAGCTGCCCGTGGAGCAGCCCGTGCCTGCGGCAGCCGCCCCACGATCCGCGCGAGCCGCCCCTGCAGCAGCCCGCGGCCCGTCCTTGCAGCCCGTCCCGTCCCCCCCCCCCCCGTGCTGCCCATTGCTCCCATTCCGCCGTGTATTCCGCGGTGGTGGGGGTGTGGGGTGCCGAGCATGGGGGTGACCGGTGTGGGTAACATGAAGCTCCTCCTCCGTCTCCCACTACTGCAGCTGCCGCTGAGGGGGGTGGGTGTGTGGGAGCCGAGGGTTTAGGGTTTAAGGGGGGTGACGTGGGAGTGGAGCTAGGGGTGCAGCAAGGGGTGTGTGAAAGGGGGTGGGACAGTTGGGAAGTTGAGCGGAGGCAGCAGTCGTGTCGCCAGCAGCGCCAGTAGTCCGGAGGCTACAATCTCCGGTAGTCGCCAGTCGCCTGTGGGTCAGTTGCTCCTGTCAGGAGGCTACAATCTCCGCGGAGCCGGTTACTCCTGTAGTCCGGGCCATTGCTTCGGTAGCCACTGAGCCAGCCGCTCCTGTGTGTCTGCAGCTTCCACCGTCGCCTCTCATCTCCTCTCCTCTCACAGTCACTCCTCCTCCTCACTTGCCCTCTGCGACTGCCTCTAGCTTTACTTGTGCATGTGAACCTGCTCTATGACTGCTTGCTCTGCTGATTATACCCCACTTTGACTATGGGGGTGTGTCAGAGTATGTTATTTGTCTAGCCTGCAGTGGGGTACTCAATAGTGAGTACAGCCCCTTAGGGTTTGCTATTTGTACCAACCTGCTTGCTAGTCCAATCATCCTTTTCTCAATTCTTGTTTCTGTTCAACTCTCGCTCGTACTTGGCGCCTCGTCCTAGTCTTCCTGTGGCCTAGGCTCCTAAGCCTAGGCCCTACTACTTTGTATATTTAACACCAAGCACCAAGAAGCGGAAGAACCACGGCGACCCCGAATCCAGCACGGGTGCTGCTAAGAAAAAGAAGAAGGGGCCAAACAAGGACGGCATACTCGTCAACGAGGCGCTCGGCAGCGACGATGACTACGCGGAGGCGGCAGGCCCGATTCCTTCATTCCCTGAGAAGGCGAAGCCGAAGGACCCCACCCTCCATAATCCCAACTCCCGTCCACCTTCCCCTCGCACCATGGACAGTAAGAAGAGGCGCCGCGGATGGACCGTACGCGAGAAGCTCAAGTGGGCACGCCGCTACCAGGAGCTCGGCTCATTGAAGAAATCCTCGCTGGAGTCTACCGCATCTATCGCTTGCATCAGACGCTGGAGTGCGGAGGCTGCTGCGGGCGTCTACAAAGGAGCGGCTAACTGCCGCAAGCGGATGCACGGGGGGGGCCGCCACGCACACTACCCCGACATGGAGGCGGCGTTGTACCGCCACGTCTGCCTGCAGCGCGCTAATGGGGTGGCCATCTCGGTGAAGGACACCCAGAAGTGAAGCCGCGAGTGGATGAAGAAACACCACCCCGGCAAGAACTGGAACGCGAGCTCTCACTGGAGCCACCGTTTCCGTGACTGCTGGAACCTGGTCATGCGTGTGAAGACCAAGGTCGGCCAACGGTTATCGGCTGGTGAGTGTTAACTGCCTTGAATTCCTTTCCCCTTGCTTGACTGCATGTTCTTGCACTTTGTTTCTAACCATCCCGTCCTGCCATGGCGTCTGTTCCCTTTGCAGAGTGCGCTAAGGACTGCGAGTCGTTCTGGAAGTTCGTGCGCATCAATCGGGCGCGGCACAACATCGACCTGGCCC